CTCAGTTGATTACCTCTTTTTTGGAGATGACAGAATCTCACATATCCCGGAGTGGTGATGTTTTGTTTGTGATCTAACAATAAAGCTTGCCTGAAGATCAGAGTGCAGAGAGCCACTAGTTAGCCATAGAGGCCAGGCGGTGGTGGCGCACACCTTTAATCCCAGCACTGGGGAGGCAGAGGCAGGTGGAGCTCTTGAGTGTTCAGGGCCACCCTGGGCTCACACAAGATTGATCCAGTCTAAAAGATAATTAGAGCCAGGCAGCGAGGTTCGCGCCTTTAATTCCAGCACTTGGAACTCACAGGCCTTTAAGTCTAGCACTAGGGAGGTGGAGACATGAAGGGATAGGGCTGGGTGGAGAGAGGAATATAAAGCGGGAGGAGACAGGCGCTCAGGTGCAGTCTAAGGATGTGTAGAGACAGGATCACCCCTTCAGCCTGAGGATTCAGTAAAAGTAAAAGGTCTCTCTAGTGGCTGCCTGCACTGCTTCTCTGATCTCTCAGCTTTCACCCCTAATATCTGACTCCGGGTTCTTCTTATTAAGAACAATTAGAATTTGTACTACATCCCAGGCCTGCTTTCGACGCTCTATGGAGCTCAGGATGACCCTGAATTCTTAGCTTCGTATCCACTTACTGAATGCTACGATTACAGGTCCTCACCGTCATGCCCAGTTTCTGTGGTGCTGGTGATTCTGAAACTCCAGTTCCAGAGATCTGAGGCCCTCTTCTGGCCTCTGAGGGCACCCATCCACATCCAAACACACACAGACTCACACATACATGTGGGGGTCTCTGCAAACACTAGGACCAACAGAGTAACAGCCTGAGTGAGGCTCAACAGGACTCAGCAGCTAGTGCTGGCTTAAATCAATAGTCTGACACCAAACAGTTTGTTTTAGGCATAATTAAGTATAGCACAATTTGGAAAAAAGATTTCCTCTGGTGATAATTAACTCAATCCCATGTGCACAATAAAGCTCAAGGCAGAGGTTAAGAGTGCTTCCTGCTCTTCCAGAAGATCTGAGTTCAGTTCCCAGCAACACCGGGCAGCTCACAACTGCCTGTAACTCCAGTTCCAGGGGACTGAACACCCTCTTCTGGCCTCAGTAGACTTTCTGAGCACACATGAATACATTCACAATATTTATAGTCATAAAAATTTTTTAAAACTAAATCTAAAAAGTAAAAGCATTCGAAATGTTTAAAATAAAATTTTAAACAGGAATGGTATTACATGCTTCTACTCTCAGAACTTGAAAGGCAGAGGCAGGACGACCAAGAGTTTAAAACTGGCCTCATGTATATAGCAAACCTGCAGCCAACATGGGCTACATGAGACTGTATCTAAAAAATCCAAAAAGCAAAGAATAAAAAAACCTTAGTCCTAACGTCAATCTTGCTAGATGCAATGAAGCCTGTAATCCTAGCACTGGGCAGATAGGAATCCAAGCCTAGGCTGAGCTACGTAAGACTTAGTAAAATGGAAGGGGAAGGGTGGGAAATACCAAGCTATGTAGCCCCGGATGACCCTGAATCCGATCCTCTTGCCTCTACCTCGCCAGTGTCGGGATTAACAGGCTTGCACCACTTTGTATCGCTTAGACAGTGCAAGGATAAACGGCAGGGCTTTGTGTACTAGGCAAGCACACCTTCAACCGAGTCAAGGAACTAAAATCCCATAGAGTAGGTCTTAAATGTTTAATATATAAGGCAAAATGGACATGGGGGGGGGGGAGTCTCAGGTCTTTCATTTCAGCACAGCTGAGGCAAAGGCAGGCAGAATTCTGTGGGTCTGAGGCCAGCCTAGTCCACAGTGAGTTCCAGGCCAGCCAGCACTACATCGTAATATTCAAAAGACACAAGAGCAAACAAGATGTAATGCAAGGAGTTGAAGAAATGACTCAGAAGTTCAGAGCACTTCCTGATCTTTCAGAGGACTTGAGTTCAGTTCCCTGTACCTAAGCACCTTGACAACTGCCTGGAAGGCCAGCTCTGGAGGATTAACTTGGTCGCCGCAGGCACACACACATAAAGTAATATTTATTTATTTATTTATTTATTTATTTATTATGTATACAATATTCTGTCTGTATGCCTGAAGGCCAGAAGAGGGCGCCAGACTTCTTTACAGATGGTTGTGAGCCACCATGTGGTTGCTGGGAATTGAACTCAGGACCTTTGGAAGAGCAGGCAATGCTCTTAACCACTGAGCCATCTCTCCAGTCCCTACATAAAGTAATCTTTAAAAAAAAAAAAAGATTTAAAATGTGCCAGACAGTGATGACACACTCCTTTAGTCCCAGCACACAGAAGGCAGACACAGGAGAATCTCTGAGTTCGAGGTCAGCCTGGCCTACCTGTAGACCAGATTTCAGGACAGATAGGGCTACACAGAGAAACCAGGTCTCAAAAAACAAACAAACTGTATGGGCCAGCCAAAGAAACACACCCTGACCCTGAAACCAGAGCTAAAGAAACACATTTTGACCTTAGAATCAGTGCCAGTGAAAGAAATATGTCCTGGCCCTGAAATTAGAGCCAAAAGGCTAAAAAGGGCCAGTGAAAGAAACACTTTGGCTCTGAAACCAGAGCCAAATCTACCCCTAAGCAACTAAGCAGAAAACAAACCAATCCCTGAGCAGAGATCTAGCCAGTCTGAGCTCAAGGGACTGAAATCTGACCAATTCCCAGCCTGAAAATCTCCCTGGAAAAACTCTGCCTCTGAGAAGCCCTACATAAGCTCTGCACCCGCTGACTTTGCTGCTGTCTTCTGACCCCGGCAGAGGCAGCCGGCAACCGCTCTCCAGGACTCTTCCCTCTTGAACGATGCTTGGGTGAGACCTCCCTTTACAGGAATGGAGCGCACGAGAGAAGTAACAACTTTTGCCCGCAGCAGAGCAGAACTATACTCCCCCACTTCCACTGGGGTTTCTGCTAGGCACAGTTGTTATACGGGGGAGGGGAGGGGAACAGAGTAGATCTGTAACAACTTCGCCGGGGAAACCCTCTCCTGACGGAGGCGCAGAGCTGTTAGATTGGGGAAACCTTTCCCTGGGGCAGGGCTGTAACCTGCTCTGCCTACCGTGACCACCTGTGCTTGGTTCCCAATTGCCAGAATACTTTTCCATCCAAGCCATAATACTTAGCATTCCTTGGCTCCCAACTGCCAGGATCCCTTTCTATCTGAGCTGCAATGCTTACACAAACAAACAAACAAAAAGACTGAAAAGGCAACATGAACCTAGATACTAAGATGGAAATATTTAATACATTAGAGAGATAAAAAGGCATATGTGGGGGAAATAAAATATAAAATAAAATGGAAATAATTAAAACAAGATTTCAAAACTAAAGATTAAAATGTTAGTTTAAATATATTATTTTAAATATTACTAGAATGCCAGTTTTGCTCTTGTTTTGTTTTGAGACAAGGTTTCTCTATAGCTTTGGAGCCCGTCCTGGAACTAGCTCTATAGACCAGGCTGTCCTTGAACTCACAGAGATCCTCCTGCCTCTCCCTCCTGAGTGCTGGGATCAATGTTATATTTTATAATATATGGCCACGCCTGGTCATATATATTAACAACTACCGCCTCCCGCATCAAATGTGCACCTCTACGGCACCGATTACAGTCTTCCAGTCTAGTTCCTAGGCTCCTTTACCTGAGGTCCCCGAGGTTTCCGCCGCGCAGGCAGCGATCTAGCCAGCCCGCCGGCCGCGAGGACCCACAGCCAAGATGGCGGCGTCCGCCATGCAGGCGCACCGTCTCCTGCGGTTCCCCGTGGCTGTGGGGCCTAGGTCCTGTAACTACCGTGCGCCGCCACCCCCGCGCCGCCACCCCGAGCCCCATTGGCCAGACCCGGAGAACCCGCTGAGCCCACGATGGCAACTAGGGCCGCGGTACGCGGCCAAGCAGTTCGCGCGGTACGGCGCTAAGTCCGGGGTGGCCCCCGCCTCCCTGTGGCCGTCCCCGGAGCAGCTGCGCGAGTTGGAGGCGGAGGAGCGAGAATGGTACCCGAGTTTAGCGACCATGCAAGAGTCGCTGCGCACGAAGCAGCAGGCCGAGGAGGCAAAGCGTCGTGCCAGGTGCGTTATGGGGGCAGGTAACCCACGGCCCCGAAACCACGAATCCTCCGTTGGAGGCATGCGGTGCCCTTGTGGTGTAGGGTTAACATACATGTTCACCTGGCTGAAAAACAAAACTTCTGGCCGGGCGGTGGTGGCACACGCCTTTAATTCCAGCAGCTGGGAGACAGAGACAGGTGGATCTCTGTGAGTTCGAAGCCCGCCTGGTCTACTGCGCGAGTTCCAGAAAGGCTCCAAAGCTACAGAGAAACCCTGTATCGAAAAACCAAACCAACCCCTCCCCCAACTGCTAGGTAAATTCTTGTAGTCATTCAGCTGCAGTTCTTGTGTTACTTTCCCCTTCCTTTACTACTGAGCTGTATCACTAGCCCGCCTTATATATACATAAGGTCGCACTGTTAACCATAACTCGTTATGTTTCCAGACTGGCACTGTATCTAGAATCCATCTACCTTTACCTTCCGTGTATCTGAGATTACAGGCCTGTACCAGGCCCAGCCTCAACTATTTTATCTTTACTAACATTCTGTGCAAGAATCGGAGGATCCCACAATGGGAAACAAAACAGACAAGAATTTCACATGACAAGGGGCCCTCAGAAGGACAAAACACGGTTAAGAGTGCATGCTGGAGCCCGGCGATGATGGTGCAAGCCCAGCACTCGGGAGACAGAGGCAGGTGGATCTCTGAGTTCGAGTCCAGCCTGGTCTACAAGAGCTAGTTCCAGGACAGGCTCTAAAGCTACAGAGAAATATTGTCTTGGAAAAAAAAGTGCATGCTGGGGTCAAGCAGTAGTAGTGCACGCCCTTAACGCCAGCATTCGGGAAGAGGCAGGTGGATCTCAGGTGGATCACCAGCAACTACATGGTGTAATGAGATCTGGCGCCCTCTTCTGGCCTGCAGGCATACATGCAGAAAGAATACTGTATGCATAATAAAATAAATTTT